GGCCCACACCGGAAGAACTACCGCACCGTGCACCTATGCGTCTGGAGTCGCAGGCCTGGCTAGCGGCATTCAATCATCTCGAGAGATTACGCGAAAGCTGCGTCACACTGTGGTGCCTGAGAGCCATGCGAGCGTACGAGACAGCACTACGCACTCTGGAGAAACGATTTAGTTTGACAGAATTTATTGGATGTGTTACCCTGACGACGCGGGATGGTCCACCGCGCCTAAAATATAAGGAATACCGGACAAGCGTGGTCAGCATGCCTGGCGGCCTTTACGCGTACCTAGAGGCACTCGATGATACGTGGGAAACCTATACACCCCACCACGTTTACAACGATGAGGAGGGGGAGTACGCTGAAGGATCAAATATTTTGGCGTACTACGCAATGGACACACGAACAGCATCCCGGCGTAACATCATACATATACGGTGTACGGCAATTTTTCGCGACGAGAGCTGCGAAACACTGCTGCGGGATGACCGGGGCGGAAAAGATATCGATACCGCAGGATGTATCAAAGATGACGAGATGCTGATATCCTATACCGAGTGATTCACGTGGTACAGCTGGGTACATCTACATCAGCGTTAAGATGATCCGGTGAAAATGAAAACACACGGTTGGGGCACGCGCGAGCAGGCAACGATGTACAGTCTAAGAAAAGTAATAGAATCATTAAAACCATACAGTGCAAAAATTTACTGAAAGATAGATTAAAAAGTGTCTTTACCCATTGTACTCTGCGTGTGCTAGCCAGGGGTCATGGAAGAGGATATTTCAAAAACGATCCGTACATACTTTCGTTAGCCGTAGCATGTATCAGTAAACGCGGAGTGCGCGATAGCCACATCACCAGGGCTACTATAACCTATCATCGATTCCACGAAGGTATGTATCTGCCACCTACCAGTAATAGCTCCTATATAATTTGCTTTTTTTAAAAGAAATAAATCAAGAATTGACGCGCTTTCACCACGAAGTCGCCCCCGAGGAGGAGGATCAGTTGCTCTTAGGGTGCCTCGATCATATAGAGGAGGGTTACCCGGAGCCCAGCACCAGCACGGTGACGGTGATGCAAAGTGCTAACAGTAAAACATACTTTTAAAAAAAAAAGATTACGTCTAATTTACGTTTTATTAAAAAAAGTAGCAGGTCCATCGACAGCGCTGGATGTGCAGGTGATGAAGGAGGAGGAGGAAGAAGAAGAAGAAGAGGGTGAAAAATCGCTTCAGAATACGTGGGGTATGCGTTAAACAGTATCGGAAGCAAAAAGAGACAAAAACAATGCGATCTTCTTCATAATTTTTTTACAGATGAAATCATGTCGATAGCATCGGCCGATAGTGATCGCAGTGTCTACGGCAATGGTAATGATGATGATGATGACCGCTCCACCATGTCCAGCACTTCTAACGAGCGCTATCAATGTAATAATTATAAATTAACAGACACCGTTGACAACTCATCTGTGTGAAAATAAAAAGTAAAAAAAAAGTTGTAGATCTGTTGGAGGCTGCTGGTTACGATAACGACATTGCAACGGACAACGCACGGCCTCCGCAGGAGCACGACGACGCTGAAGAACCGGTGCTATGGGTTCTTAGGAACGGCGTGTACGAGGTAGCGGATGCCGACGAAGCGGCCGATACATTGGCGGGGCGCGATGGGGCCCCGAGCGCAGCGGCCTCCGCAGGAGC